ATATATACGCAATAGAAGAGAATACAAAAATTTAACAAGTCAAGAGGGAGGGGAGCATGCTGTAGGGGCTGTAGCAGTTTAGAATACAAGGTCAATAATTAAGGAACGGAACGGTACAACTACAAAGTCAACGAGAATGATAATCAAAACATGGCATGGAATGCCCCTTCGTGCATTACTAATCAAAACATGGCACGGAATGTCCCTTCGTGCATTAATAATCAAAACATGGCACGGAATGTTCCTTCGTGCAATAATAATCAAAACATGGCACGGAATGTTCCTTCGTGCATTAATAATCAAAACATGGCACGGAATGTTCCTTCGTGCATTAATAATCAAAATATAGCACGGAATGTTCCTTCGTGCATTAATAATCAAAACATAGCATGGAATGTTCCTTCGTGCATTAATATATTCTCAACACAAATCGTGCACGGCATCAACCTTCGTGCTTTATCACTCTTCCTCACCCAAGCAACAATCACAAACAATGGGTCGAGGGGATAGACAAACAGTACTAGAAGTCCCGGCAAGGGAAAACACAAGTAAACAGCTAAATCCCGGCAAGGGAACAACAACAATAACTTTCACATCCCGAAAAGGGAGAAAATCACTATACGAACACAGCCCGGCAAGGAAATAATCACATTTCTTTCTCTTTCTTTCATTTCTTACTCAACAATTACTTTAGCATTCGAGCCAACGCTCCAAAGAGTTCACAAGTCATAATTCTTTCTCATACCCTTCACATTATATAGAAACCATCAATTACACAAGGAAGAGTCACAACAAAATCAAAATAAGCACAACTAAGGACTCACGGTCATGCTAGACACCAGTGTATAGATACTCGTCACCATGCCTATACACCGTACTCAACAATTAGCAATTAGCAAACAATACTCTAATCCTATTCCCTCAAGCCAAAGTTAGATCAAACACTTACCTCGAATGCTCCAAACTCAACTTAAGCCTCTAGTATAGCTTTACCCCTCTAATTCGGCTCCAACACAGTCAAATCTACGAAATAGTGACTTTACAATATTAATAATAGCTAAACAAACTAAACCTAAATATGAATTTCTAAGCTTTCTTCCCAAAAATTCCAAAATCGACTCCGGGCCCACATGGTCCAAACATGAGGCTCGGACCAAAACCCAATCACCCATAACCCCACGAGTCCAAATATATAATTTGTTTTAAGATTCGACCCCAAATTGAGGTTGAATCACCCAAAATTCTCAAAACCCTAACTCTACCCAAAACCCTAATTTCTACTTTGATTTCATGATTTAGGCTTAGAAACCTTCTAATTAATGAAGGAAAAGTGAAGGAAATGAGTGGGAAATTACTTACCCAAGTGGTCTTGAAGAATGGGGGCTTCAATGGAATCCTAAAACTTGGGAGAGAAGAGAGCTCGTGAGTATTTTTGAGAAAAACCCGTAACTATTCTGTTTCTGGACTTAAATTATAACTGGGCGATTTTTACTCTATGCGTTCGCGACACTGGGTCGCGTTCGCGACGAAGGGGAAGCTGGGTGCATCGCGTTCGTGATTAGGGAAATGCGAACGCGTAGAGTTAATTACTGGGGCCTGAAATTTGTTTTACGCGAACGCGTTGAAGTCACGCGAATGCGGTGAAGGAAAATGAAATGATGTGCGTTCGCGAATGCTTAATGCGAACGCGAAGAGGAAGGTTTCCCCTAGGGTCAACTAGTGCTATGCGAACGCGAGGACTGTATCGCGATCGCGATGAAGGAAGTCACAAAGCAGTGCGAACGCGAGCCAAAGGCCGCGATCGCAAAGAGCAAAGGTCTGTGCAAAAATTGCAGCAAAAAAAATCTGATCCTTTTTCCTAAGTTTAAAATACCCCGAACCACCTCCGAATCACTCCCGAGCCCTCGGGGCTCCTAACCAATCACACACACTAACTCAACAACATCCTACGAACTTAACCGAGCGATCAAATCGCTAAAATAACATCATAAACGAGGAATCAAACCTCAAAATCATCACTTTTCATTCTAACTTCATAAACTTCAAATTTTAGATATTTAGGTCCGAAACACGTCAAATGACGTCCGATTTCGACCAAACTTTACAGAAAGCGCTTAAACCATATATAAGACTTGTACCGGGCGTCGGAACTAAAATACGATCCCGATACCACAGTCTTTTAATAAATTTTCATTTTCATTTTCCTTAATAATTTCAGAAAAACAATTTCACAGAAAAATCCTTTTCTCGGGCTCTAGACCTCGGATTTCGACTCCGGGCACATGCCCGAGTCCCATATTTTTCTACGGACCCTCCGGGACCGTCGAATCATGGGTCCGTGTCCGTTTACCAAAAATGTTGACCGAGGTCAACTTTAAATCATTTTAAAGCCACATTTTGAAATTTTTCACAGAATTTAACATATAATCTTTCCGGCTACGCGCCGGACTGCGCACGCAAATCGAGACAAGTAAAAATAAGATTTTCAAGGCCTCGAAAGCACGAGATAAAATAGAAAACAGGTGATGACCCTTTGGGTTGTCACAAGTTAATATTTTAAGTGTTTGTACAATTCGTGTTGGATATGAAAGTATAAACTAAAAAGTCGATCTTAGAATATACTAGTACAAAATGATTTCTCACTTGTTACTCAAAGGAATATGCTTCGTTTTATCCACTTTATTCCATGTTCCTAGAATATACTAGTACTACCTAAGCAAATAGAATTTCCTTTTGAGTTAGAGTTTTATATAAATAACCTAAAGTATAAAGAATTTTCCTTAGGGAACTATGTTTGGTGTTGTCCCCTCTATTCGAAATTCCAAGCATATACTATCTAACATAATATATTTTCTTTGGGGATAATTTTACATAAATACAATTCATACACCTGACTTGCAACATAATAGCTTAGATACCACTTTGCAAATCTATAGCCCAAAAATAATAGGCTAATTCCTGAAAGACAAGCTTATTTCACACAATCAACTACGGTTATTGCTCCCTCTTTATGCAACCAGTTGTTTTCATTCTCTTGATTTCCTTTGATTATTAAGCATTTGATAAAAAATGCAAATCAGCCACAACACAACTCAAAAATCCTGAATAATACATATTATCTGAAGGTAAGAAATTCAAACACTTTTATGTGCAATTGCTGAAGCAATCCAACAGGATAGAAGAAAAATAAAAACTTGGTAAATAAATTGTAGAATCCCTCCAACGCGTACAAAATCTTTTTCATACAGCACATACACGAAAAAGAAGAAGAGAAGGAAGTGTCAAACTTCCGTAGAGGCCTCTTACACACTGACAATGTATATACATCTTATAAACTGAAAAAATATATAATTATACAACATTATACACAATTATACACAATTATACAATATTGTATAAGTGTATATAAACACCACTTATACAATATTTCCACTAGAAAACATAGAATGTCCAACACTACACTTACTGTAAATAATGTATTAACTTGTATAAACATGTATAATAGTGTATAAGAGGTGTTTGTATATCCATATACACAATTATACACTATTAGACAGTGTTGATACAAACTGCTACATAGTTATGATTTTTTATCCAAGCCTCGAGTTGTAGTAGAAGGTATTGTATGATTCAACTCGTCAATAGGTTAACAATTTTGCGCCAACGATTCGGAATTCAACGCTAGATACACCCAATTTCAGATTCGAGACTTCAAGGTCATAATAATAATGACTAAAACTTCAAACTTCAAAATCTTTCCAAAATTAGTGGTTATTTTTTGGTGCAAATCAAGTTTGAGAGCTATTTATTTTCAGATCTGTGTGTATTTTCATTTTTCTTTCAAAAATCTTCAATATTCTTCTGCTTTCCACCATGGACGACGGAGTAGGAGCCCGAGCCTCCTTCGAGCCATTGATGGTAGAACTGCGTAGGGGGTAGGGGAGGGGGTATAGCGGGGGCTAGGTTAAGAGAGGATGATGGATCTATGTGGGTGAGAAAGAAAGAAGCGAGAGGCGGTGAGAGAGAATTTGGTGTGCTGGGAATGAAGAAAGAAGAAAATAATAAAAACCCTAAAAGTGTGTCTTTAATAATGGGCTAAAGGCTGAAAAGTTTCTTTCAAGTTATGTACAACATGGACTAAATAGGGTAATAGCTTCAAATTTGGGCCATTTTCGATTGGCCTGTTTGGCCAAGTGACAAGGGCCGTAATTCTTTCTTTTCTTTGTATATCAAAATTGTAAGAAATAAAATGATCCGTGCATCATATGTTTACATCAATTCAATAAACATATAATATGTGCTTTTTTTATACATTATTATTACTAAATTATAGAGTAGCTAATTAATACTTAGTCTCATCTCAAATTCTCACTTATTTGAAGGGAATCTGTATAGGTTGTTCAAGACAATTAAAAGATACAGAAATAACTTGAACTAAATGAGAAAAGTATAAAAAAATAAGCTTTTAATATAACTAGCCATTAAGGGATCGTTTGGTATATTGATAAGAATAATAAACTCGTGATAAAGTTTAGAATTAACTTTATCTCATGTTTGGTTTGAGATATTAGTTAATTCCGAGATACACTATAGAAGGAGGGATACTAACCCCATGTGATATTCAATCCCACAGAATATACTGGAATATCCCACCATTGTACCAAAAGACCCACCATTGTACCAAAAGACCTCGTTATTATGCTCCTTTGGAAGTATCCACTTGCTCATTAGTCTCATGTGTCAAAATGTGAATTTAAATTAAGTATAGTTTTAGTGTAAAATACTAGGCGTAAATTGCTCTTATTAATAAACAAAATTTTTTGACCATTTGATATATATATTTTTTTTGTATAATTATTTGGTATTCGATATACTAGTTTAGATTTTAGACATTGAATGTAATTTATTAAGAAGAAAAATATTCTCGATAAAAAAATATTCATATTCGGAGTTCGAAATTTTCTAGTTTCTACTTTCTACATTAAAAATTAAAAAAAGAAGATAAGTTTGTTTAATTTATCCAATTTGCAATATTTAATTACACAATTTGTCATAAGTGCTTCATCTTCCTCATTTATTCCGTTCCCCCCATCTCATTTCTATTCATTTTCCTTTCTAATACATACTTATAACCGTATAAACCAATACACATATAATTTCTGTATCTATATTCACTACGACTGTAGCTATGTCGATTGCATTAGAGAGGAATGACATGGCTGATAATCGGTTTAAACGGCCGGGATTCGTCAATGGAATGGCGTGTTTTCCGATTTATAAGTCGCCGGAATTTGGCGCCGGAGATCGGTGTGCCCTGGCGAAGCAGGAGGATGAAGAGGAGGATGATCGGACTACTTCATCGTCGTCGTCTTCTTCAATTGGGAGAAATAGTGATGAGTCGCCGGCCGGAAGGTCGTTATCGGACGGCGGCGACGGTGATGGTGACGGTGAGGAAGTTCTGAGTGCATTTAAGCCTGGAGGTTTGGATAATTTGGAGGCCTTGGAAGAGGTTTTGCCGATAAAGTACGTAGCTTTAATTCAGTTTTCAGTCAATTTACGACTATTTAATTTCGGCTTTTCATGTGTTTAAATTTGGTATATTACATACTTCCTCAATTTATATGACACTGTTTAATTTGGCACAAAGTTTAAGAATTTATTTCTTGAAACTTGTAGTCTAAAACAAGCAATAATATTTTTATGGAATCTAGTACTCAAATGATCACTCAATTATCCCAAATTATTTGCTAAAGTCACTTTTCTCTCGTTTGTAACAACAAAGTCACTTAAGTACGCATATAACACTCAGAAGGTCACTCAACTAGATTTTTCAAATTTTTGATTGTCAAATACCTATTTTACCCTCTAAATTATCAATTTTTTTAACTTTTTAAGTGTTATAATTTTTTTCTCTTTTTAATCTGCATTGTAGACTTACCTATAGAATAATTATATTTTATTCATAAAATAAAAAATAAAAAATTAGTTTTCGGCTCATATAATGACGGAATAATAATATAATTGTGCATATATAATGTATATTATAAAAATACATTTATTTAAATTATTATTTTTATATTACGTGCATGGAATATATATTTTACGACCTTTATTTTCTTTCATTCTCAATTGTGTAACTAAATTTTTGAATTTTAATTGTTAATACAAAAATTATTATTACGAAAAGATTATTCTACTTAATTTTTTGACTATGCTCATTTTGTTATTCCAGCATTATATATGCTTAAATACTTTTTATTTTTTTAATTTATAAATAAAATTCATTTATTTTATAGGTAAGTCCATAATATAAATTAAAAAGGGAAAAATTATAATATCAAAAAGTTTTAAAAAAATAAAATGAAGATAAATGTTTATAATTTAGAGGGTAAAATAGGTATTTGGCAACCCAAAATTTTGAAAATCTAGTTGAGTGACCTTCTGAGTGCTATAAGTATAGTTAAGTGACTTTGTTGTTACAAACGAAAGAAATGTGACTTTAGTAGATAATTTAGGATAGTTAGTGACCATTTGAGTAATAGACTCCATTTTTGTGGCTTTAAATCATTTCTCTCACCGGTTAAAACAAAAAGTTAAAAGTTAAATTATTTTTGAATATAGTACTATGTCTTTTTGTTTGGAGCAGGCTAATAAGAAAAGTGTACCGCATAAAATGAAAGAAAGGGAGTAAAATCTACATGTATCTGATGTTACTAAACAAATAGATGCATGGTGACTATCATTTTAAGCTTTTCATCACTTAATCATGGTTAATTAATACCTAAATTGTGTCTCGTGCTCATAGAGTTAAAAAGAAAAAAGTTGGTTTGGTGCAACGGATAAGTTCTTTTTTCTTCTTCTTGAAACTTTGGTTTTGCTGCTTAATCCGGTGTAACGGGATAATAAACATAAATGGAAAAAAATAGATAAATTAGGTTGGGCTTGTTGTAGTTCTGGCAAGTGAGTTACATCACTAGGCTTCTTTATGGTTAAGGATATGATACTGCACCTGCTCTATCCTGAGGTGTGGTTTTATTTATTTTTTTGAGCTATTGGTTTAACTTGAGCAGTAAAAGAGAATTTCTAAGTTTACGCCTTTAGAATGTCAGTTGGATTATATGTCTGGTACCCTTAATCTTGTATCGCGTGCGTGGTATACACCTTGTACTTAGAAGAGTTAATTGTGGAGCTAGAACAAGCTTAAACAAAAGCGGCTGCATGATGCTGAACTATGATTGCAGATTGTGTGGTTGTTCAGCTACATGCGATGGAATCTTAACTTATCTTCATATTTCTTCTTGTGTTGTGTGTTACAGTGCTAACATATACTGCATATACTTCAATATGTTAAAGATTTGCCTTATCTGACAATGAAATAGACATTAGATATCAAAATCATTCTTTTCTTTTCATGGATATTAAGGGGCTTATGATTGAAATATTCTTGAGAATCTTGTTTCTCTGTCTTTTTTCTTCTTTGGTTGATGGTCCATCCCATCATCGGTGCATGAAGATCACGATATGGATCAAAGGGCCTGTTAGTATTTCTTGGGACCACTATCTTCCTTACCGAAAGGGAATGAGCCTTTGTTATCCTGAAATGCTCTTTTGAGCTTTTAACTTCGCTTTAGCTTATCCATTAGTGTGTCTTGATTTAACTATGTTAATATTGGAAATAGATGCAGTGCGGATTCATCTAAATTTTAACACACATTGGAGCTTATTTTCTTTAGTCAATATTTTGGTATTGTCTAATCTATTAAAAGATGGTTTTTGAGGAGGAAAAAGAAAGAGTGGGAGTGGAATAAATAGGAAAAGATTTTGCTGTTTATCTGGTCATCTTGTTACCCTGGATGCACTAACATTGCTTGTCTGCTATGTTTCAGGAGAAGCATATCACAGTTTTATGCTGGCAAATCGAAGTCTTTTACCAGTCTAGCAGAGGCTGCATCATGTTCCTCCCTTAAAGATATTGTAAAGCAGGATGATGCATACACGAAGAAACGCAAGAACCTGCTCGCTCACAATTATTTCTTCGACAAGAATTGCGATCACTTCCCCAGAAGTAGTGCTGTTGGGAGGATGTATAAGAGAGCAACCAACTCTAGAAGCTCATTTGCTCTTGCTGCAACTGCGAGCTGCTCTGAGAGCAATAACAATTCCAAGTCATTGAACTCAAGCCCATCATCCCCTTGTCTCTCGCTTCCTCCTCTGCCTCCACAATCGAGAAGATATAGCAATGAGGTATCATTACCCCATTCGGAACAGAAGTTCAGTGCATGGAGGTCGTTTTCCTTATCTGATCTGCGAGGTGCTGCTGCTGCAATTCCCAACATAACTGGCATAAAAGAATAGAGAAGATAATTGAACTTGGTCTTTGTTTTGGCGTCACCGTATGAGCCCAAATACAAATAGGTTTACATGGAGGTTGGCTTAGTTTTGTAAGGTGTTTTAGGCTTTGTCTTGCACTTTTGCCTTCTGTAATCATTCTTTTAGGCATATTAAATCAGGCATCTTAAGAAGGTAATTACTTCTGTACACTTTTAACATTTGGGTTTTCCCAGCTTCATATTGTATATTTCAGTGCATTTTCAGTTTCAATCTAGAAATTTGCTTGTAGATGTTCTTCAAGTTACTTATCACCTTGCTAAGTATGAAAAACTATGCAGGCTTGATTCTGGATAGGACCTCCTCCCCTCTTAAATAAGATTATATTAAAAACATTCATCATACACTAACTATTTTGCTATTTGATTTTTTCCTTATTTTTTATATTTGTATTTGTAGTTACTTTTATCCTCTGGATAAATGATGTACTTTTACATATGCCCTATATATATATATATATATATATATTTTTTTTTGAACTGCTATTTCATACCCTAAAATATTATGACATGAGTTAAAGAAAAACATGTGGAGCTAGGTGTTACAAATTTAAAGAAATCTTATGTATTTACACAATGTTTTTTTATACATCTTGTAATTAATTACATGATAAATGTATTAAGTGATCTTCTCTCACATGTTAAACTAAGGGTCGTTTGGTGCGATAAATATGGGATAAAGATTTAGTATCTCTTTATTACTTGTTTGGTTACTAATCCTGGTATAAGTTATTCTAGAATTAAAAATAGCATCGGGATAATTTATACCTACCAAACGGTGGAATAGTAATCTCTGAATAAATAACCCGAGATAAAGACAATAATATAACATACCAAACAATCAAACTAATCTCAATATAACTAATTGCCGTATAACTAGTGTTCAAATCAAACAAGCCCTAACTTGTGTAATAAATCTCCACATTGACAAAATAACCCCCTTTCCTAATTTATTCATTTTCTCCTAATAGATTAACACTATTGTCAATGGAGCCAAAACAAGAAGCTTCTCTATATCTCTTCAGTCTTTTCCTGTTCTCACTTCTCCGTCCAATAGCAAAGGAATATCCACCGAATCTGTTCACTAAATTTACACTGATTCAAACCCAGTTCAGTTATAGTATCCTCAAGGTATGAACTTGCTGCATTACGAGCTATTCCGTTACCCCCCCCCCCCCCTTTCTGAGGGACCCAGCTCCCTTATGTCTGCATATCTTCCTCCAAGCATCAAGATTTGATGAATCAGTATATGAAGAAATAATTGTTATGTGTGAAGATTGATTTTGAGGTAGTTTTGGCAGTTGGCATTAGGAGTGTTTATAATTCGGTTTGGATAGGTTTTTCCTTAAAAGAAACCAAACCAAGTAACTCGGTTTTTCAAATATTTAAACCAAACCAAACCAATTAAGTCGGTTTTTTCTCGATTCGGTTTATGTTGGGATTTGTCGGTTTTTCGGTTTTTTCCGGTTATTTGTTGGTTTTTTCTTAAATATAAGACATACACTACCAAACTCATATTCCGGCAACCACATTTTCAACCTAACACTATCAAATCAATTTCCCTTTGAGAAATCTATTATTTACCAAGATATATTGATGATAATTGAATCAAATAGTGATGAATAATTTAAGGACTCAACTAAAAATATGTTATTTTTAACACGAAATGGATTCTTACACTTAACAAAAGAAAACTACCAATAAAACTAGAATGTAAAGGTAAAGAACTATACTAAAAGTGCAAACTATTAACATTTACCATTAAATTTTTGAAACTTTGTATAAAAATATACATACATATAATAAATTTGAAATAGCTTTTTTTTTGGTCAAATGAATAAAATTTTATTTAACCAAGTATAATATGTACATCCACTAGTTCATTCTAGACTCTAGAACTAGTCCTAATCTTTGTAACTTTCAGAACATTCCTCCTCTTCTCTAGTTTCTATTACAATATAGACCTATACTAGATTTGGGTATGAGTTTAATCTATCTAGTAGCTTTTTCCAACTGCTTCTATGTTGTCCTTTTCTATGCAGTTGAATGACAATCTCTCTCAATCTTAGAGTACGATCTCTTTGTTGTTCTTGAAATCTTCTAGCATTCCGTTCACTCCAAACATGGTAAACAGTCGAAGCTAGTAACCATCCTAGGATCTCTGCTTGGGCTTTGCTTTTGCATCTTTTGGTCGTTAGCCTCTCAACTTCCTCCTCCCAGCTTCCCACTTGACATCACTCCCCTGTCCAGTGTAGAAAGGAGCTCCATAACTGCCTTGAGTATTCACATTCGAAAAACAGATGTGCGTGTGTTTCTTCAGCATCAGACATACATAGAACACAGTTCCTAGGAACTTGAATTCCCCATTTAGACAATCTGTCAACTGTAGAGAGTCTCTTCTGAAGTGCAAGCCACAGTACAAACTGATACTTTGGTACAGAACATGGTTCCATAGTGAGGGCTCTCCACATGACTTTAGGATATTGAGGGATTAGATGCATATATGCCTTCTTGATTATGAACTTACCAGCAAGAGTGAATTGTTGCAGCTCTGTGTAAGGATCATCATTCCCATACCATTTTCTTGCATCAAATATTTTCCTAACAAGCCAGCATGCTTGTTTAGGTGTTTCCATCTTGCTGATATCCCTTCTTTTTATGTAAAAACTATGAATCCATTGAACCTACAGAGTGTCTTTCTTAGCTGTGATAGCCCAAAGCAGCTTGGATATAGCTGCTTTGTTCCATGTCTGGAACTCAATGATGTTCAAACCCCCTGCTGATTTTGGCATACACAGTCTCTCCCAAGCCACTAATGCTCTTCGTGATGTGGCACCTTGGCCGGTCCACAAGAAAGTTCTACAAGCACTCGTTATTAGCTGCATCACCTTCTTTGGAATCAAAAATACTTGTGCCCAATATGTTTGTATCTCGAACAGAACACTCTTGATCAGCTGCACTCTGCCACTATATGAAAGAAATTTGGTGGTCCAGCATATGATCCTGGCAATCATTCTCTCCACCAGCGGCATGCATTGTTGAACTGTTATTTTCTTGGATGATAGGGGAACACCAAGGTACTTGAATGGTATCTCTCCAAGTGCAAAATGCATTTCAGAAAGGATTTGGTCCTTCAGTTGTTGAGCCACCCCTGTTATGTACAAGGAGCTTTTCTCCATATTTGCTTTGAGGCCTGAAACTGTTGAGAAGTGCTCAAATGCCTTAATCATCAGTTGAATACACATTTTTATTTTTTGAGAAGGTCAGTTGAATACACATTTGGTCAGCCCTGCAGCACATTATTAAGTCATCTGCAAAACAAATATGGGTTAGTTTCATTTTCCTGTACTTTGGGTGGTGGTTGAAGTTGGGGTTGTAGTTTAGCTGTTTCAGAGATCTTTTCAGGTACTCCATTGTCAACACAAATAGAAGTGGTGACATAGGATCTCCTTGCCGTAGTCCTTTTCTTGCTTGGAATTTAGGGGTGAGCCCTCCATTGAAAATGATAGAGTAACCTATAGTCGAGACACACTCCATGATGATATTTACAAACTTCACTGGCATTCCAAACTCCAACAAAACCATTCTCAGAAAATCCCACTCAACAGTGTCATATGCTTTCCTAATGTCTATTTTCACTAGACATCTGGGGGACATTCCTTTTCTGTTATAACATTTGATTAGTTCATGGGCCACAATGACATTATCCAAGATATTCCTTCCTTCAATAAAAACTGATTGTGATGGCCCCACAATTTTGTCCACTACTAGTTTAAGTCTGGAAGTGATCACCTTGGCTATTATACAAAGTTGTACAGCATGCAATAGGCCTGAACTCCTTGACATATGTAGGGTTTGGAACTTTTGGTACTAAGGTAATGGTAGTACAGTTTATCTCCTTCAGGATTTTTCCTGTCTCAAAGAATTGGAGGAATGCTGCAGTAACATCTTCTCCAATTGTGTCCCAATTAGCTTTGAAGAATTCAACAGGGAATCCATCTCCCCCCCGGGGCTTTGTCAGCTGGTAAGTCCTTTAGAGCCTGCACTATTTCCTCTTGCATCACTGGTTTAATCAGACCCTGCTGATCCTCCCTATTTAGGCAATACCCATCCTTTGCAATGTTGCTATTTAGACAAGGCAGTTCTGAGGCCTTAGTACCCAATAAATCTTGGAAAAATTTGATGAACTCTTGCTGGATTTGGCCAGGATCAGTCAACATTATTCCTTGATCATTACAAATTGAGGAGATATGATTCCTTGCTTGTCTAGTCTTCATTTGTGCATGGAAATATCTTGTATTTGAATACCCTTTTGCTAACCATATAGCCCTTGACTTTTGTCGCAGTACCTCCTCATGGATGTTAGACCATTTTTCTAGCTCAAGTATCAAAGCTCTCTCCTCTTGTATCAAGTTGGAGTTGTACAGATCTGAATTCAACATTTGCTGAGTGTCCTGTATTCTTCCTCGAATGACCTCAACTCTTTTTTGCAAGTTAGAGACTTCTTTATGGAGATGTTTTGTGTTAAGCTCAATCAGCTTGAGCTTTTTACATATTCCATACATAGCATAACCAGGGATTTTATACTGCCATACAGTTTGGGTCACTTCCTTGAAAGACTGATTTTGGAGCAGCACATTTAGTAATCTGAATGGCCTTGGGAGTGATTGCCTGATTCTCCCAGTACTAACAATAATTGGGGTATGATCTGAGCACCCTGGGTTGTGGTATACTGTTTCTAGATGACCATAGTTGTCAAACCATTTTGCATTCCCAAAAGCCCAGTCAATGAGGCTATGAATTCTAATTTGCGCATCCCTTTTATTACTCCATGAGAATAGACTTCCTGTTCTTTTCAGCTGCCCAAATCCTATATCTTCAATACAATCCTGAAAGTCTTTAATTTCAGTAGGATGTACTGGAACACCATTCTGCTTGTCATTCACAGAAAGAATAGCATTAAAGTCCCCTAACACAATCCATGGATAAGTTATACTATTATTCAATGTTCTCAATCCTTGCCATAGAACCTTCCTTTCATTTATGGTATTCAAGCCATAAACAAAATTATCTGGCTAGCAAATGGAGACCCCTTATCTTTCACTAAACAATGAACAAAATGTGGCCTGGATATTAATATTTGCACTTCCACTTGTTGAGGTTTCCAACATATCCATATTCTTCCATTTTGGCTTTGAGTGTAATCATTAGCTACTTCCCATTCATTCCCCATTTTCTTCTTGACTTTCTCAGCCTTGTTGGCTTTAACTTTAGTCTCAAGACAACCTATTAGAACTACCTTATTTGTAAACAGAAAGTTCTTGAGCTCTTTCTGCTTAAAGGGCTTATTAAGCCCCCTTATATTCCATGAACAGAAGATCATGGAGGTAACCTCCTTGGAGGGCTATGGTCCTTTGTCACTTTTGGAGTGACTATCACTGGTTGAATTCTCAGGGCACTGAACTGGTTCTGCCTTAATAACCTTTCAATCTTTTCACTGTCTTCATAAATCTGACCCTGTCCCTCCTCTTGGATAGTAGCCAATTTTTTCTTTCCCCTGCTCTTAGCCTGTTGCACTTGAAATTCCATCTCCTCCGACTGTTCTGTTTCATTGTGTGTAGCTGTTGGTACTTCTGCCTTCTTTGTTACATTTGGTTCAACTTGTTGCTTATCAGCTGAGTCTGTTTTATTAGGTTCCTGAATTACCTTCACTCTCCAATCCATCTTCTGCTTCCTTTTGGGCAGTTGCTGCTTCCCTTTATCAACTATTGTTGCCTTCTTGCAGTCACCACTATGATGCCCTATACTCAAGCAACTGTGACAATATAAAGGTCTCCATTCGTATTCAATAGACTGTAATCTGCTCTTGCCTCCTGGTAGTTCAATTGGTATCTCCTCTGGCAGTGCGAGTGAGATATCTATCTCAATAAGTATGTGTGCGTTGTACACTCTTTCTCCTTTGGCTGTAAGTTTATCCGTGCAGATTGGTTTCCCCAAGCAACTCGCAATTCTACCTAGGCTTTTTTGGTGCCCAGTACTCAATAGGTAAGTTAGGGAATGTTACCCACACTGGAATAACTTGAAGAGGTTCCTTGGTCATTTGGAACTCTGGCTCCCATTGTTTGAGAACCATAGGTCTATTGTTAAAGGTGTATGGTCCATTTTGCAGCAAGGTTTCCTTCTCTGCCTCAGACATGAATCGGAATATAAAGTAGCCATCGTTATGTAAGAATACCTGAGGAGTTATGACAAAATTCCAGACCCCATACACATATTTCAGCATTTCCTTGAAGGAAGGGTTTCCCCCAATTACATAACCAATTAGTGCTGATTTCCATTTCTGGCATTCTTCTTCGACTTCTGATTGAACCAATTGAACAGTCTTCACCCCGTCTTTCATTATTGGAGGAAAATAGTCAAGTTTCAACCCTAATTGCTGAGATCTGTTACCTTGAACAACTTCCGCCGCCGTAGGTTTATCTGTTCGCACTGCTGTAGAAATAGCTACTCCTATAGTCGGTTTGATTCGGGTTTTTTTTTCGGTTTTTTTTCTGATTAAAACCAAAACCAAACCAAATTTGATCGGTTTTTAAAATTCAAAACCAAAACCAAACCAAACCAAAAAGTATCGGTTTTTTGGTCGGTTTGGTTTGGTTTTCGGTTTGGTTCTGTTTTTCGAGTTTTTATGAACACCCCTAGTTGGCATTTTGCTGTTTGAGTTGATTCTTGGTGATAAAATTTGAAGAAAAACTGTGAATTATTATAGAAAAAATCGGCTTTCATGTGAAGATTTGATTTTGAGGTAGTATGGCCGTTGAACAATTGGTGTTTAAATTGATTCTTGGCAATAAATTTCATGAATAAGTTTGAATTATATATAAAAATCATTTTATGTGTAAAAAAATTGATTTTGAGGTTTTTAGTCGTTGACCCATTTGCAATTTTTATTGATTCTGGTATTAAATTTGATGAACAAGTATGAATTAATACATATAAAGAAATCATTTTTGTGTAAAGACTTGATTTTGAGGTGTTTTTAGTTGTCATATTTGCAGTTTGAATTGATTCTTGGGTCTGAAAATGGAGGGAGGTAGTCCGAGTCGGAGTGGCGAAGAACCCACATCATGGGATGAGCTTTACAATGTCAATCTGATGCCTTCAGAGATTTTTCTTAAGTTCAGAAAAGAAATTGAGAGCTATCGAGTTGGTGTTAACTTGGAGGTACTAATTTCTCACTGACCATCTATATTGTTTGTGTTTATTTTAATCAATGAAATGCGTCTTAGTCCCAAACAAGTTGGGGTCGATTATATGAATATAGTGCTTCCTTGATGCTTTCGTTGTTATTAGCGTAATGGGACTATCATATTACAAAGTTCCAATACGTTTTAGATTACTTCAAATAACTTCCGGCAATTACTCATTAGTAAAAGTTAATACAAGTGGGGACCCTCCTTTTCTTGAATGGAAACGGAAACAGAGGAAGCAGATAGCTAGTTGTTTAGATTTTATCGTATATTCCTGTTGTTACTATTTGGTACTACTTATTCTTTTCTCCTTTCTCTTCTCTCTTCCTTTTCCTGCTTTTCCCCCTCCTTTCTTCTTCTCCCTCTTCTTCTTCTCCCTCTTTATCTTGTTCTTCTTCGTCTCACCTCCTCTGAGCCGAGGGTCTATTGGAAACAACCTCTCTATCTTCACTAGGTAGAGGTAAGATTTGCGTACACACTACCCTCCCCAAACCTCCACCTATGGGAATATATTGAGTTTGTTGTTGTTGTTGTTGTTGTATTGATCACTTGGCCATTGAGGGGCTGCTTGAACATTTTTTTAAACAATATCCAGTGAAAGCTGGAACTTATACTGCAAAAGACCCCAGCATTGTGTTAGATTTGATCTTCATATCCTTGACTACTATCTCAACAATTGACCTTAGTTTAAAAATTATTATTTCTGTCATTCTCATGGCAAACATTCCCTATTTGCTGATGTTAAAATTGAACTGACAAGGAGCCTTGGCGTAACTGGTAAAGTTGTTGCCGTGTGACCAATAGGTCACGGGTTCGAGCCGTGGAAACAATCTCTTGCAGAAATGCAGGGTAAGGCCGTCCGGCCCTTCCCCGTACCCCGCTCATAGCGGGAGCTTAGTGCACCGGGCTGCCCTTTTTAAAAAAAAAATTGAACTGACAATTTTCTCATAATATGTTGGAAGATGGGTACTGAGTGATACCTGATCTAATTTATGCTAGTTCTTTCCTCGGGATAAATCTTAATGCGCGATACTGAAACCTAAATTGTACAAGCATCATGCCATTTTACTGCATTAACATCATAGTTGCTGCTGAAATCATCTGAAGGATATTGAGTAGCATTATAACGTTGTGTCGTCTATTTGGGTATTTGTGGTTTTAACTAGTTTTTTTATGCTACCTCTTGACCAGTTTTACAATGCCCCATACAATGAGTATCTGGCTAAGCTGGTTTTAAAGCCTTTAGCCCCTGATCGGAGATGGAAATTCATATACGAGCCTTTGCATCATGAAGTGCGTCTTCTTTCCAAGAAAATCCCAGTGACAAAATTTCTGAATCTTCAGGTTTGAACTTACTCGCGTTACTTCCTTTACACTGTACTGTTTCCTACTTCAGCCCTTATCATCATAAATGTTATAGGTTAACCATTTGAACCTATACAGGTTGGAGTAGGCCATAGCTTTCAGTTGCATGCAACTGGTTGGAAATGGAAGCTCACTACTTGTTTCGGCGGAGATGGTGTTTCCAGCATCCGGAATAAAACATCACTCGGATTATGTCCTGGTGTGGATTTCCGTTTTGGATGGAAAGCAGATTATGTTCTTCCAGAAGTTACTGGGCAAGTTTTCTCATCCTCATTTGTCGTTCACTTTGTAGGAAATCACTTGAAGGGGAGCCTTGGCGTAACTGGTAAAGTTGATGTCATGTGACCAAGGGGTCACGGGTTCGAGCCGTGGAGACAGCCTCGTGCAGAAATGCATGGTAAGGCTGCGTACAATAGACCCTTGTGGTCCGGCTTTCCCCGGACCCCGCGCACAGCGGGAGCTTAGTGCACCTGGCTGCCCTTTTTGTAGGAAATCACTAGGGTTCTTACCCCCTGACAATAAGGTGCTTTAAGAATTAAAACTGACTAAAACTTGACAGTGCGTTTATCAAATATGAATGAATTGTGGAATCCATTTGCAGGGCTTTAGGCACTGGTGAACCGTTGTTCAATATGAATTCTGGACGATTACAAGCGTCACTAGATAGAGTGGAGGCAATCTTTAGCCAATAAACACAATCTTCTAACCCTGTTGAATTTGGACATCGCTCAATCTCCCTTCTGTACCTTCAAATCATTCTTCTTTGATCGTTGATTTATCTGCGCACTATGATATGGGGATTGGACTATGGAGCTGACTGATCTTACTTTGCGTGTAAACTCTCCATTTGCCGAGGAAATCATGAATCACCTTGAGATCTCATTTATGGACATATAGGGACCTCAAGGGACTTCATCGTTCATCAACCAAGTGGGAAGTTATTTTCTTTTTGGTTAACCTCTCATGTTAAGTCATCAAAATTTTCCATCTTAATTTTGTTTTTCTAACTATCATGCTACAATTATGTTCTTTCCTTGTAAGCAATACATTTCTGATATCATTTCTTGCTTTGTATTTTTTTGGGAGATGGGGGCTGGAAGTTGAAGGGAGAAGAGCTAAACACAAATGTGTTCTGGATTGTGACACACTGTTGAATGTCCTATTAAGAGTTGGCAAGGGGAAGAGTCTCCTTTTTACACTGAGAATCCTTTAATTGTTTGTTTCAACTTGTTTGATCATCTCATCATTTTTGTCATAAATCACATCATTATTACTGCCCTCTTTGTATGATCGGCAAGTCCCTGTCGATCATACAATGCGAAAATGACATTGTATGGCCGCTCTCAAAATAATAGCCGAAAAATGTATATATATATATACAAATTTTATACACTTTTTCGGCTACCGAATGTAAATAGTTTCTGGTGCGAGCTAAAAGTGATAATACCCCTCATACAATTGGGTGCTTATAGCCTTATTTTGCCAAGCCTTTTTTGGCCAAAAGTGCTTTTCCCCTCAAAGTTAAGTGTTTTGACCGAGCTTTTAGTAGGTGTTGTGGACATAAAAATTTTGATTTTTTTTAAAAAAGTAGCATTTGGAGTTAAGTTGAAAATGATATTTGAAATTTGAAATTACGTTCGGACATTTTACTTGGAAAAATGTTATAGTTTTGTGAGTGAGGGAAAAAGATTTTCTGAAAAACTTGAAATAGTGGTCAAAACTACTTTTTGGTTTTTGACAAAATCATTTTAAAAAACTCCAAAAACTTACAAATTTTCATGGACTAACATATTTTTGAAAAAAAAAAATCCGAAAACAGAATTTTTAAATGAAAAAACGGGTCCTTAGAAGGAAAAAAAATGCTTTTAAGAAACTGAAAAATATAGCTTCTCCCAAAAAAAGTAATTTTTTGAAATTTTTTTTTGAAAAAATACATTTAAAAGAACTTCTTAAAAGCTTAATTAGACATTAATTACCGTTCAAAAGTGTTGTACAAATTGATTAGCCAAACACAATTTACTTCTCATCAAAAGTAGTTGATTTTAAAAGGGAAAACTACCATATACCTACCCATTCAAAAGTAATTACCCGTAACTACCTATCTTAAAAGTAATTAAATTAAATACCTATTCTAGTAGAACTAATTACCCGCTCATTCAATTCTTGCGATGGACATATCCAGTTTAAGTAACAAAAGTGTGAATCCTAAAAAGAAGCCAAAGAATAGTTAGCTTTTTTCAACAGTGGGTAGTGTTGTTAGTATTGTACCTTTTTTTGCTATCATCACCTTTTTTTTTTAATTTGTGCTCCATAATTTATTTTATCTTCTAAAAGTAAAAAAAAAATGTACTATATAACAAAAATTTGAATTTTCATGTGTGTTGAAGTGTTTGCTGTTGGAATTTATTGGGTATTGTTCTTTGATTATGATATTAATGGTAATTTTCAAATATTTGACAAAAATTCAAATCCACCATTGAAGGAGCTTGAAGCTTGAAACTCATAACTTGGTTTGTTTTAGTTTTTAATTGTTTTGATCCGATCCTATATGAGTTTGTTTGGAAAGTTGATTGGAGGTTGTAACTAATGTTTTAGTCAATTTGGTGAGATTTTGTAGTAGATTTTAGAAATTTGGGTTGAAATATAGTTGAACAAGAGAAGAAGACGAATTTGTATTGTATACTCAAATAGTATACAAATATACCATTTTGGGATACAATTCATTCCAACTATATACCCTATTAGTATAGCTATATACTATATTGGTATCATATGTTAGTTGAATCATTTTTTGGTTGTCTTAGCTGCATTTATTAGTACAATATTTGATTTTCTTTTAATAATAGTAATATAGTACAATATCTTGAAATACTTTATTATATTAATATGTGGTACAGTATTTTTTTATTTTTCTCTTTATGCATGTATGTTATGTAATAGTAGTATAGTCAATAGTTGTCGGGAATTAACCAGTAAAACTGTATACCATGTTGGTATAGTTATATACCATATTGGTATCATATTGTAGTTTGAACATTTTTTTGGTTGTCTTGGCTGCATTTTTAAGTGAATTCAATTCTGAAATTATTTATATGAACGTGATTTACAGTGCTGAAATTTTTTTGTGCTGATGGATATGGATTAGGTAATAGTTTTTATAATTATAGGCAATTGTTGGAACGACCCATACAACTATATACCATGTTCGTATATGGAATGAGCAAGTTGCTTTGCGAATATTTAGCTTGCAATGTGAGCATGTAATTTTCTCATACTTTTATTGTATCCTTTAATGTTTTGGTACAGTAGTATAGTCACAGATAGTTGTAGCAATATTCTAGAGCAATCATATACTCTGTTGGTATACTTGTATACCATATTGGTATCATATGGTACTACAAGTCTTTTTTGCTACTTACATTTTTATTGCATTTTTCAATATTTTATTATCATTTCTATTCTAACTAGTATATATGGAGATTTAGTGGCCGTAGATTATGTTTTCTTGCTCCATCACTGGTTAGTGTTACTGCTAATGGTAGAGTATGTACTGATATTTGTAGGGAAGGAGATCAAGATTTGCATGGCAATCACGTGAAATTAGAAAAGGAACAAGAAATAAAGAAAAAAAATAAAAATAAAAAAAGTAAAGAAGGAGTCAAATTTGAGTGTGAAATAAGTTATGGTAAAAATAACAATAATACAATTTAGGCAAAAGTAAATAAATAAAAGAGAAAAAAGAAAAAAATAGGAAGAAAATGAGAAAAAAGAAAAGGAGAAAAGAAAGAAAAAAAAGGAAAAAAAGAAAAGAATCATAGAAATAAAAAAGAATTGAAGAATAAAGAAAAAAAATTTCCCACAAAAATTACTATTGGGTAGGAAATGTAATTAGTTTATAGGTAGAAAAACAAATGGGTAGACAAGGGTAAATAGTTTTGTTTTTGTGGGTAACTGTGTCAAACTCCCTAAGTTCAAACCAGCCGTGTTATATACAAACAAACCACCAAACTCTAATTATCAACTTATAATAATATTTATATATATGTCCGGCGATATTGGAAGGAAAGCTAAAGGCTTTTACATGTTAATTTTACTAATTAAGTAGATACTCTGGGTCGATCAAATACATCAGGAAAAATGAACCGATAATTAATTTATTCTAACTGCCGAAAAAATACCAGTAGATTATTTACATCATCTAAATTGTTGCTAACAAGTACCAAAGTGCGTGCATGCCAGTTGGTTTCTAGATAATATGAAAATAATTTTCCTAGGTATTTAATTCGTAGTTTGTTGGTAAAAAAAAATTTAATTTGTACGTAGTTTCCATTTTTGTGGCTTCCAGCTCATTATTTTGGATTAGGACACTTCATTTTGACACAGAAAATCGTATATTTGGTGGTTCCGCGCAACTTGTAACGTAGCAAAAGGGAGAGAAACATTATATCTATCTGATGATAGGCTATAATTACGTATTTTAGTCGATTATTACACTTTAATTTACTGTATTTTAGTTGAGTTTGAGCTTTAATCGCTAGTGTTTTGCACTAATGGTGTGTTTTATGCCTTGTAGGAGTGATTCCGAGCTATGTAGATGTTATGAAATGAATGAAGTGATTTGGAGCTTTGAAGCTGAGTAAAAGTACAAGGAATTAAGCCGGGATCGTGTTTGGGGGTCAACGGATGATAGTTAGAGCGAACGAAGACTCGAGTAGGCATATTGCGCACTGTCTAGTAAAATACACATAACGTTTTGCTCAAAACTCCATTTGGGCTCCACAATATATGGTTGGAAAGCTAACTCAAAGGGATACAACTTTCATGTTTTATGTTTTTCAAAATTCTAAGCGTACCAGGGTGAAACATGCGCGTCAATAGCGCGGTCGCGCTCAGGCCGCGCTCGTCAGGCAGAACACTGGGCCACTAGCGCGGCCACGCTAGTCAAACCCGGGAAAAGTGTCCTTTTTCACATTGGAGAAGGTATAATTTGTTAGGGCCCAACCCTACTTGGTATATATACATGGAAAAACGGTATTTTGAGGGGGTTGGACATACTTTTGACACAAAGCTGCCGTGGAGGCCGGAATTCATCGGGTTTCATCTCTTTTTCCACCAAACTTAGTATATTTTATGTTTCTTTGTATGATTTGTTGTTTTGCTACCATGTCTATGTGGAGCTAAGCTTCACGTTCTAGGGTTGTGGTTCTTTCATGATTATTGTTATTCGGATATTGATTTTGATTTCTTAGCTTATCATATTGGTTTATTTATTCAATCCTGCACTTAGTTATTTGATTGCTTGATCACCAATTGAATACTATCCACGAATCTAGAGTTGGACTCGAAAGTGGGAATTCTAGATTGCATATAGGATTGAATAGAGCAAGTTCTTGAACCTGGGCATCGGGGAACAGATTCGCAATTAGGATAGACATACACCTAATTGCCTTGCTTGGTTGAAATACAATAATTATAAATGCGTTCTTGTTGATTCTAACTCCATAGACATATAGGCGTTAGGTTAGCTTGAATAGGCGAGTAAGAACTTGACAGATTCTTATGAGCAATATTTGATATTATTGAGTCAATTGTGGCTAGATACGAGTGGTTTGGAGGCGGATTCTAGGGGAAAGTCCCCGGTAGAGCTTTGAATTGACTGCAGAGTGAGGTAAGTGTTGTGTCTAACCTTGACTTTAGGGAATTACGAACCATCAGACTATGTGCTATGTGATACTCATGTGAGCGGCGTATATGCGAGGTGACGAGTGCTTATACGCCGCCGAATTATCTTTTTCTCTTATTTCCACTTTTCCTTAATTATTTTCTTCCCTGTTTAACTGTTATATGCTCTAAAAGCTTTCCATGCTTAATTTCTACCTGTTAATGAATAGCTTCTCATGTTAATGATGTTAGCTCCTTTCATAGTTTCATGATTCCGTGCTATTTGCTTAAATTAACTTATTTGCACCTTCTAATTGTCAATTACTGGATTGGTCTCGTTATGTAGTATTACTTGTGTAGATTCTTATATTGTACAAGGTTTCCTTTTTGGTTCAGTTTGGTATTTATTGATCATAAAGGTTTTTTTGTGGTTCGAACTTTTGATTTGACTGTGCACATTGACTATTTGGTACTGATATGGTGGGATCGGGCTGCATGCCGCAGCAGGTGTAATAAGGGGGGATTGATACGGTAGAATAAGGGTGAATTCACAGTACAACGGGAT